GGGGAAGAAACAGAGGAAGGAAGAAAAAGAGAGAGATAAGGAGATCGTGAGAGACGTGAAACAGTGAAGGATTGGAAGGAGGAGGGAGTGTAAAAGCCAGATTTTTATTGGAAGCAATTGAAGTGGTTGCTATGAGACCCGCTGGAGCAGAGGACCAGCAGCTAGCCCGACGCTGATGGTTCTCACCGCGTTTTAAACCTTTCTTTTGACACAGTTTTAGAGTTGTTTAATATCTGAGCAAGCACCTGACACCGGTGACTTTTTTCTTCTCCCAGTCCCTCTGGTAAGATGGAGGTAGAAAATGAAGCCAGCTGCTCCGCGGGCAGCGCATCAGGCGGGTCCAGAGAGTACAAGGTGGTGATGCTGGGAGCAGGGGGAGTTGGTAAAAGCGGTAAGTTTTAATACCAAAAGCTGGGGAAGGAGGGACGGGGGATGAGGCAACTTTATGGAGAGAGAAATAGAGGGGAAAAAAATAATAATGTTAATGCTGTCAGGCGTTAGCGGTAGCAGTTAAACACTGAGCATCTGGCAGGATTTTTAAAAGTGTAGAGGCTGATAAAGGGATGCTGATGAATCAGGAGAATGGCGAGACAGCCAGCGATGACATGTAGAACTTTAAGAAGATCATTTTTTCTTTTGATTTCAGGATTGACAATATCTACTCTTAGTTTATGTGCCTTTTTAAAAGTAATAACATGATATTTGTTAAATAGCCATGATATGGGGAGAACTTGTTCCTATCCTTAAAATTGTCACATAAAGAAAGTACTATAAATATTCAAAGAAACACACATACACAAATACAGATATATGTGCTGGATTATCAGAGCTGATTATTATGCTTGTTTCTTTGATTGGAAAGCTTCCTGTCTCCGTTCCTTGTCTGTGGTCCGGCTGAGCTTGTGTGGGCTTTGAATGCCAAGAGTAAAGTTGGTTTTTGAAAGTGACAACAGTTTAAGGAAAGGTATTCATTGTAGGACCTGTGCAGGGGAATCAAACCAAACTTTGTGACTAACTGAGCTGAAGGGGACAGCGACAAGGATAGAGTAAGTCAGAGTGGTACTGAAGGTGAAGAGTGATAAATTTGTTTTGACACATGAAGAAAAGAAGTTGTCAGTGGTCAGATTTCTTAAGGGACTTGAAAAACTAAATATAGCAAATTAAAGAAATGGAGATATAGTAGCAGTTGAGGTGGATTAAATGTTGAATAGCCTAGAGCTATGAATATCAGTAGAAAATAAACATAATCATAACTTTTTATGTAAATATAAGAAGCCCCCCCCCACTGGGTATACATCTTTGAGGATGCCAAAGACAGAAGAAATATGAGAGTTAGCATGCACTAAAATCATCAAAACACTTCAGTAGTCTTAGTGTTTGACAAAAAAATTCAAAGTTGGGACCAACATTTTTGGCATAAGAAACCAAGAAGCTGATGACTTTGGTGGTGGGTCCACAAATGACAAGACAGTTGAGCAATAAAGGAAGGGGAAAGAGGAGTGTGGCTTTAGTGGACAGCAAAGGTGAAAGGCCAGAAAAATTGCAAGAGATATAAAATGAACACCCTAACTGCCCATAAAAGGAATTACCAAAAAGAAGAAATAAGAAGATCTAGCTGTCAGAATGAAAAAAAATGAGTCATCTTTCCAAGGAAGGAACAGTCAAGTGAAAAGCTTTTCGACTGTGTGTGAATGAGGAATTGTTAAAAAGACTTCTTTTCTGGTTTTTTTTTTTTTTTTAATATAGTGGTTTGACAGGGGAGGAATCAAAATAGGTGAGTGCTTAGAAAAGGAAGGAGAGGAAGAGGCATAAAGAGGGAAAAAATCTATATAAAAGAAAGATATGTTTTTAAAGAGTATATCTAAGCAGACACTCAGAAAAAGAAAGAATAAGTCAAAATGAAATAGTGAGAGGAGAGAGAAATAGATTTAAGAAAAAGGCAGGAGGCCAGTCCACAGAAACACCACCTATTGACTTGTGAGGTCCATCAGAGAGATGCTTCAATGATCCTATAACATGCCCATGTATTACCTTTGGTTTCTGGCTAGACATTTTCCTCATTCACCAGGAGCTTGGGAGATATGGGAATAATGTGGCTAGTTCTTAATCTATTTTATTCCAAGAGATGGAACTTGGAGAGGAGAGATATTGAACAGGAACATCCTTCAACAATACACTTATTCTGGAGGTGATAGTAGCTCTACTATTTTTGATGTCTCCCCAGTATTATTTGTACTGACTCATCATTGTTACCA